CCTCCCTGGCTGCCCCGAGGGAGTCTCCACCCTGCTGCGCTCCCTCTTCCCGCCGCTGCCCTTCTCTGGACTGGGCCCCGCCATGGCGAAGGCTGCCGGGGCCCGCTAGGCTGAGGCGCCTCGCCGGAGCGACCCGGCTGCTGGCGACGGCGCTGTCGGCTGTCGCGAGGGGCTGCCGGGTGGGATGCGACTTTGGGTGTCCGAGCGGCTGCGGGTCGCTGTCACCCCCAGCCTGGGGTCTGGAGAGCAGAAGTCCCCTCAGTGAGGGGGAGGAGGGGGAACCGGGCGCACCTGGTGACCCCGAGGTTCCGGCTCCTCTGCCCCGCGGCTGCGAACCCACCGCGGAGGAAGTTGGTTGAACTTGCTTTCCGCTGCGGGGACGAAGGTATTGTCGCAAGTAGCAGCATCATGTCGACTGGGGACAGTTTTGAGACTCGGTTTGAAAAAATCGATAACCTGCTGCGGGATCCCAAATCAGAAGTGAATTCAGATTGTTTGCTGGTGAGTTCCGCTGTTTTCTCTGGGTTGCCTTGGGTTCCTCTTGCTGCAGTCTGGTCTCAGGTGTGCATAGTCATCTTGGGAAGATGCCAGATTTCTCTTTTGCAAGAATTCTGGAGCACCAGTAAACCTCATAGTTCAAACCCCTTTTTAGCAGTTTCACTTGTTCTCTGTTAGCTACTCTGAACTTGTGGTTTTGATTCCGCTCGACAGTCCAACCAACATACTTAGAAACTGCTATTACAGGTCGTATTAGAATGTTAACACGTCAAAGTTTATAGTGTGTAGTTTGTTGAATGACAATCTTAGCATTAACCTTCCCAGTTAGTTTGACAGTAGTATTGAAAAATCTACTTTTTTTTAAACAATTAATTCCTAGGGGTTTGCAGTGTAGACTTGGAAATGATAATAGAGAATTGATATCGAGGAAGTGATTTTTTTTAAGATAAAATTTTAGGTGTCTTGAAGCTAAAGAAACTTTGCTGAACGTTAAATGCAAACACCTAAGGTAACTAATCTTAGGCCAGCACAAGGTTGATGGCTTTTAAAACATAGTTAGTAAATATATTTCACATATATTATTAACTCTTTTTGATGCCAGTGAACTTAATATTACCACTTTAAAAACATTCTAAAGTTCGTAGGTCACGAAAAGCCAAAATCCTACCTTAAAAATTGTCCAGTCGTTCATAGCAAATACAGTTTGTAAATAATTAGCATTTGAGTACTGCCAATACAGTTACCAACTGAATTTTTCCGTTTACTGCTAAAAATTATATATTAATATTCTTTCAGTTCAAACAAAACTACTTTGTGTCTAAAATCATGTTTCCGTGTCTATATGGACATGGGGGCTTCAGAGAATTATCTTTGTATACTCATAGTTTGGATATTTAAGAATAATAGAATAACACCATTCAGAAGATAAAATTTTAAAATCTCACACATTGAATCAGGAAATTTTGTAGATTAGAAGTAGTGTGCATTTCACTTATTCTAAACATCTCTGTGCAGTGTGTGTCAGAATTGCCCTAAGCATACTTGACTATAAAATGAGAGTGTGTGGGTAATGTGTTTGAAGTGTCTCATCCACATTATAGATGCTCTTTCATACTGAGAAACAAGGTTGATGCATAAGAAATTTGAAGTATTTTTATTGAATGATAGAATTGAAAGAAATTAGAATACATATCTAATGTATTCCATGTTTGATATGTCTTTCAATATTTACTAAAGTTGTGTCCTAGATTTTATTGTTGTTATTGTTAGTGGTCCTGCCATTTGAACCCAGCACATGCCAAGCAAGCACTCCACCATTGAGCTATTCATTCTATTTTGCTTTTTTCTCTCCTTCTTATGAAGTAGATTATAAGAAGGGTTTAGGAACATGTTTTTGTTTTTATTGCTTATTTTCTCTTTTGTTACAGCATCATTTGATAGGAACGTGATAGAATTGTGGAGAATACAAGGAGATAAATATATAGACTCTTAAGAATTGATTCCTCCTAGGAAAACATTTTTATATACATATACAGAAACAAAGTAAAACAGTTTACAGATTGAGAAAACAACTGATTAATTCCAAATGACTATTTAGTATCTTTCAGTCATCTGTCTGTATCATGAAAACTGAAGGGAAAAAATTGCTGTGAGTTGAGGCCCAAGTGTGCTTTATGATGAATAGGCTACTGAGTTGAGGCTAACATAGAGGGTGGATGCATCCATGACTGGCTGTGACATGTTTAGAGAAACAAGATAAAGTTGAAAGGATAGATGGGATTAGATTTGGAGGATTTGAGTGCAATTAGGGCTGTCATAGAATGAATGAAGAAGACTAATTCAGTAGTTGTATGCAAGGTAGATTGTATGGAAAAAGACCCAGGATAAAGTGAGATTGGAGAATTTTAAGATTGGAGAATTTTAAGATTACCATTATAGTTCACTCACAGTTGGAATCCCGAGCTAGGACATTAAAATGAGGAAGAATTGATGGAACTTGATTGACAGAGTTTTAAGAGGAGAAGGGAAAAATGCTGAGCCTGGGTTACAGTGAGAATGGTGAAAATAATCAGGTTTTGCAATTGCTTGAGAAAAATAAACTTAAAGATGTATTTTAAATGTGCTATATTTGACAGGATAGTGGGATGACAATGAAGAAATGGCCTATTGGAGGTGTGGAATTAAACTTAGAATAAAGCATAGTGATTTGGGAATTATTTACATAAAGTTGAAACTGAAAAGGAATAACCTAGAGAGAGAGCTAAGGGTGAAAGACAAAGGTTGAATAAAGAGGAAGAGTCAAAGAAGCAAGCACTCTAGGTCCTCCGTGTTAATATTTTATTTTTATCATGGGACATTCATTCATTCACTCATTCACTCATTCTGCAAGTCACAGTGACTTATGTCACTACGTTTTTCAGTGAACCTGCTCTTGCTTTGTATGGAATTTGGACCTGTTTTAGGTTGGAGGTATAACTCTCCTTTCACCTAGGTTGCCTCTCTATTTTTATATATATGAGTGCTGTGTGCATATAGGTACTATTAGAGGCCAGAAGAAGGGTGTCTGATCCCCTGGAGCTGGAGTTATGGGTGGCTGTGAGTCACCCATTTGAGTACTGTGATCTGAGCCAGTATCCAGGCAAGAGCAGCAAGAGCTTTAGGTGCTCTCCAGCCTCTGTCTAGATCATTTTAATCCTTGCTGACTGATTTATTTAGCTGATACTCTGTTCATTTTATTTGCTACATACTGAGCTTGTCATTCTAGTCTTTTAAATCTCATTAAATAGGTTGTGAGATTGTTTGCTTCTGGATCGACTCTTCAGTAATGAAAGTTCTCAAACCTTTTGGTTTTACAACAGTTAGCTAGCAAATGTCTTTAAATCTAAATTTACCCAGAAAACACTTGTTTGGGACAGTAATAATGTTATCAGTTATAATACTTGGAAGAAATGCTGGTAAGTGGCTGTTAAACCATTTCTTCAAGAGCATGACTTTCTTTTCAGTTTTCTTCTAACTGGTGAAGTGTAAGATGGGTGGATAAAGGGGAAGGAGAATGTTGCATTATTTACAATGTTCTAGCACTGTTGAGTCCCTTAGCACATATTTGTTACTATTTTTTCCTCATTTTAGTCGATATTTTTTTTGTCAGAATATGAAAGGCAAATGTAAAATGAAGATTTTGATACTGGTTTTCATTTTCCTTCTGAAAAATTCTCTTTTCTGTATTTTTAACTAGTGCTTTCCCCATCTTTTCATTGCAGTTTTATTTTTTTCTCTTTGCCTTTTTCTTTGCCTTGAATGTAATGGATAACTCATTCCAAACTGAAGCATTGATTCCTTGTCACTCTTTACATTATCTGTAAATCCTTTTATTTTATTAAGTGTGTGTGTGTATATCTGTGTGTATCTGTGTGTCTGTATTTGTCATGTGGATGTCAGAAAACAACTTTGTGGAGTTAGTTCTTTTAGTCTACCTTTATGTGAGTGTTGGGGAAGTAACTCACGTTGCCAGGCTTGTGCTTTGAGCATCTTTATTGATTGAGCCATCTAGTTTGCCCTAAATTCTTTTATTTACTCCAAATCTTAAATATTCAGCTGTCTTTCAGGCATCTTTACTCGACCGTCATATTATCACCTTGATTTCTTATATTCTAAAATAAATTATTTGTGTTGTTAGTATCATTACTATCTCTGCTACTAAACTGGACATTTTGTTGTGAAGTTTTTGGCAATACTAGTCCATGCATTTGAGTTGTTTCAAAAGACTTGGAATAGAATTTGAGGGTCTAGATTGCTGCATAATCTCCCTCCCCTTACTAGTTGGATTAATCACATTTGAGAATATGCT